AACTCAATGGTATAGATTGAATATGGGTCAATCTGATGGTTACGACCTCATTTCGTAATATAACTCATACAAATCAAAATCACATGAAATTTTAGGCGTACATTCTTCTCATCTAGGACCAAAATATTCCTAAAAATTTTCAAGGGTATTTTCATCAAATTATTTTTTACAATATTTTTAATAAATTCTCCTATTTTTAAAGAATAAACACTCAAAATTTAGAGTGATTTAAATTTATAAAAAAATAAATTTCAAATACGAAATACGATCGTGACCATTGGATCGATTCAGATTCAATCTGAGCCATTGGGCTTACACTGTAGCTGTCAGCTACTAGGATATTTCCAGTTTTCCCATTTCGTATGAATTGCATTATTAAATGAGGTTGTGGATGTATGCCGTTGCACTTAAACTGTAGTTATCAGCTAGTGGACTGAAATTGTTTTTTGTATGATTGATTATGAGGATTAAGAGAATGTGTGTACAAATATTGAGGTCATATAAATGCCAAAAATATGGTTTTCTAAAAGTGTGGTTGTATTTTACTACTATACAACCGTTGTATTTATTCCATTTGGGATTTTTTCTTAGTTATTTATTTATTTTATTTGAAGTGTATTTAAAAGGAATGGGTCCCTCATTATAAAATATGAGAGAATAAGAATAAAGTAAATTTGATCTTGTGATAAGATCTACTTGTGGTGGATTCCCTTGCAGACTTTGAGAGAAGGTATATTACCTCAACTATTTTTTTATTTATTTTTTATTATTTCGGTTTATTATTTTCTCCCTGCATCAGATAGTTATGGTTGTTATTAAATTATCAATTCTTTTATCTTTTACAAAAAGAAAAAAAAGCTTACGAGAATGAAACCTATTATCCATTCAATACCATGTATTATATAAATGCCACATTATACAAGCATATTTTTCATTAATCTTAAATATTAGGAATCTCAATTATTTCCTTCATACGTGACATATTCACCCCATATCACTAAAAAAGGAACAAACCGTTCAAATTGGGTTGGCAGGTCTCCAATTAAAAAGTTCAAGGTAAATCAAACACATGTACCCAGAACTTCATCAACATTTCAACTACCAATCAAATACAGGTAACTAGAACTTTCTCAAAATTCTAGTAAGTATCAAACACAAGTACCCAAAACTTTTTAAAACCTTTCAAAAGATAGCATTCGACTTCTCAACAAAAAAATAACTTCCTTTTTGCAAAGAACCATTTATCTTCCAATAAACAAGACGACTTTTCGGTGAGGGAGAGCAATAGTGCAAGTTTTTCCATTTGAATGCATGTTTTGTATGGGAAGATAAAATAAGAGTGAAAATGGGTTTGGGGTTGGGATCGTGGTGGTAGCATAACATGTAGTACAGTTGAGATCTAAGCTTTCATTATCATCTAATACATTAAAAATCTACAATCTATTTAGAAAATAAGATAAGGGCTTATCATAACAAAAAAAGAAAAAGAAAAAAAAGGGTGCCTGTCCAGATAATAACAAAGACGTTGGTTGCCAGCCAAACAGATCCCTTATTTTGAATAAACCAAGTCAAGACGTCAGCATTCGTCCATGGGGCGTCCAGGTGTTAGAGATTCACGTGAAATTGCCACGGCACACAAGACCAGTCAAACCAATCACTGGATACGATACGAGATCCCACCGAAGAGGCTGAAGCCGAGCCACGAACCCGTAGCCGCCTCCAATCAGTGGGTCCATGGCATCCGAGCCGTCCCCGGGCAGCGCCAGGGGGGACCCAACCCATGCCTCCTCCCGCCTACGCCTCACCTCCCGTAGTGGACGACAGCTCGCCACGTCGGACCAGTGGAATCCTGGAAGCCAGCTGTATGCCACGTCCCCAAGAAATATCTGAGACCGGGTGCGCCGTGAGCGATCACCGTGGTGCCACGTGGAAGTACGGACTGGTGTATTTTGAAAAGAGACACGCCAGATTTATATTTTCTTTTTATATTTGAGCGGCGGGGGGGATGGGAGGTTGTGTGAAAAAGCAGGGGCCGGACATAAAAGAAAGAAAGGTTGGCAGGCTCCCTGTTAAAAATTAAAATAGAACAAGTTGTGGTTAAAGAGAAGAGTGAAGAGCTGTTCTGGTCAATTGAAAAGAAGTATTTAGGAATGGAAGTGGGAATCAATTAGGGTTCGCTAAATCAGAAGAGGGGAAAAGAAATTATGCAAGGCACAGGAGCCCTGATGTATTAGATAGAACAGGGAAACTGAGCTCATCCATTGAAGAATCCCTGTTTTTTTCTCTCTTTCTTTCTTTTTGGGTTTTGGCAGAGATGAGGGATTGCGAGCTCTGCGATCTTCCTGCGATGATGTATTGTGAATCTGACCAGGCCAGTTTATGCTTGGAATGTGATGCAAAAGTTCATGGTGCTAATTTCCTGGTAGCTCGGCATTCGAGGTGCCTTTTATGCCAAGTTTGCCAGTGTCCAACTCCATGGCGAGCTTCTGGTTCAAAGCTTGGATCCGCCGTTTCGTTATGTGAGAAATGCGTCAACAGTCGCCATAAACAACAATCACAGCACGAAGAAGAGGAAGATGGAGAAGAGGAAGAAGAAGAGGAGGATGAGGAGGAGGAAGAAATGGATGATGAGGCTGATAATGGAGAAAATGTAAGTGATGGAGACAGTGAAGATGGGGAGAACCAGGTAGTTCCATGGTCTCTCACTCCTCCTCCTCCTCCTCCTCCTCCTTCACGCTCTGTACCTTTACCGAGTTCAAGCAGCGAGGAATCATCCCAGGGCCGCCTCAATATGAAACGACTCCGTGATAATGCCGATCTTCATTATCAGGTAAACATCTCTCCTTTCCCTTTCCCTGATCTATACTCTGTTTTCTCTCTCTTATGCCAGCGATTTCTGAAGATCTTTCCACTGTTTCAGTATGTATTACTGGATTAAAGAATGTTACTGTTCATTCTTGTTCCTTGTATTAGAGAGTGTTTTATGTCAAAGCTACTTTTTGTGGTTTTCTGATTGATTCAGTCCATATATAAATTACAGGAAGGCTTTGGCTCTTCTTCTTCTTCTCCTCAGAGAGGCAATGATCAAGCTCGGAGCTCAGGCGAGGATGAAGCAAATTCGATTAGTTCATGCCGGCCATTAAAAGACAGAAAGAGAGAATCCATGATTTCAGTAAGACAAAGAAGCTATGCCTCAAAATCCGACATAGTCCAGGCTCTAAGAAGGTTACAGCAACAGAGAAGCGATCCTAATTCCTCTTCTATTAATTGCAGGATTAGCAAAGATCATTCCCCTGTTGATGTTCTTTCTACTGGCTCTGAAAGCCCTCCAGTTTAAGGTACCCATTATCCCCCCATTTTAACCCCCTTCCCGGTCTCTTCCCTCACTTAACAACCCTCCATTATCAGATCTAACCAACCACCACAGGTTGAAGACCCGCTATGTATTTAGATTTAACAGTGGTTAATCTCTCCATTAAAACCCAAATCGAGCATTTATTATTTGAAGTACTGTACTTGTTTCTGATGAATTGCACTGTAGTTTTGGAAGGTCTTTGAAAAAAATGAGATTATGAAATGGTTCGTTACTTTGTGGAGTACATTGCACCTGATTGAATTAAAGCCATGAGTGGGTTTTGTATGTCAGTCGTCAGAGAGCGAGTAAAGGTATCGTTCATGGCCACGGTTTAAGCACGATTGTGCCTTTGGTTTGTCACTTTGGACTTGTGGACACCATTTGTTCTGCTTTGCTCATTGTTATCCGTTTTGCAGGAAAATTTAGAAGATGCTTCTTCTTCTTTTTTTTGCTTTTTTAGACTATGACAAAGGACAAATAATTAATACTTGATGAAATAAGTGACGCAGGAGTAACAAAAAGATGAAAAAAAAGGCGCTCTCCATTTACAGTGGAATGATAATCCTTACGTACAGGAAATACATTCCCCTTGTGTCTTTATTTGCTTTTGCATTTGGAAAAGTTCTATTCGAAGCCTTGGCTTTAGATTTCGCCCCTCTTATAAAATGGTATTTTTGAGATAGATTTTGATCTTTTTTTTCTTAGTTTTTTATGGCTAATATGGAGATTATTAATATGTAAAAATAAATCATTTTTAAAACTAAAAATAATAAATTTATAAAGAAAACATTTAGATCATTGTTTTAAGAACAATGGTTCCATGCAGGCTGGATCACATTTCTACAATACGCGGTCCAGAGCTATAAAGCATCCATCTTAAACATGGATACAAATAGGTGGTCCATCTAAAAATAATTGGAATGTTTTTTTAATATAATTATTATTACTAATTTTTTACTTTTTTTTTTCATATTCATAATATCCATGTTAAATATTATATATTCTCTAAAACTTAAGATCAAATTATATTTCTACATGTGTGGGCTTGGCCGCATGCTACCTGCGCCCTTGATTTTAATATCTTTTTGGAGGGAGTACCTATTTGTATACCTCTTTAACATGGATGTTTCGTCCCTCAGGGGGTGCAAATGTAGGAATGCGTTTCCCATCTCCTGCAATTTTCCTTGAACATTTTACACTCGAAAGTAAAGATGATTATCGGTTGCATACCATTTTCTTGCAGCTTTAATTTCAATGATTTGAAATAAATTTTCATGTCGTAGTAGAGACCACAACTGCATTTGGGGCGGGACTCTGCTTACAAACATTTAAGCCTGGGCCTCATGCGCATCGTACAATCTATCAAAAGACACGTTGTCTATGTGGCCAGCCCGGATATTATAAAAGTGATGGCTTGGCAATAAATATATTTTTCAAATATAATTTGATCTTAATTTTTGGAGAATATATGATTTTAACAAAGAGATCATGAATATGAAAAAAAAAAATTTAAAACTAAAAATAATAATTATATTAAAAAAATATTTGAACAGTTAGTTATATTTGTTTTTAGATGGACCACCTATTTGCATCCATTTTTGAGATGGATGCTTATACCTCGGACCGTATATTGTAGAAATACGGTCCATCCCACAAAAAGCAATTTTCCTTAATTAAAATATCTGAGATATGAACTAGTTATTTAATAGTTTTTATTTTATTTCAATATCCATGAAAAGACACATTATCATGGGTTAGAAAGTTGCAAATGTGTAAAAGGTTAAATAATATATCTCTTATCATTAATTTTTATCATGTTCAGTGTTTAGCTCCTTGGATGGACTTTGCTGTGTTTGTTTTTCTTTGAATATAAATTGTGTACTTTAGTGCCATTGTCACAAAAGACCAGGGTACTTTAGGTATTTCTAAAATCATCTAGAAACGGAATGCTCCTTAGTTCATACTCGACACGAGTGCAAAAATCGTGTGGTGAGGATGTGGGGTTGTTTCCGTGTGGGGTCCATGTTTTGGATTTTTGCGGGCTCTTTGAATGGAGGGCCAGGCTTAGAGGTGCGCTTTTACCTTGAGTGCTTAATTATGATAATAATAAAAAAAAGAAAATGACGTAAGCCCCTCATCTAAACTTACGGTCTCATATAAAGTCTTGGGTCTATGGGCAAAGAAACCCTAACCAAGTGTTTGATTGCACGAATTGGCCACAAAAACCAACCATACCTTAAAGCAGTGTTTTAAAAAACGTCGAGTCGAATCGGACTCATCCGGTTCGACTTGAAAATTGTGAAAAGGGGATCGGATCGTCTAAAAAATCGAAAATCGTCTGGTTCTAGAGAGAACCGGACGATTCTGTACAGTGAATTGCCGATTCACTGTACGGGATCGGTGAGTTCGAACAGTGAATCGGCGCTCTTATATATATGAGTTTTGTTATGCTACACCACTTGTGGTGTAGACTCCTCTTAAAATGCTCAACATGTTTTGACATTTAAATACCTTTATCCAATTGTATAGTAATTTTTTGTTTAAGGGTATTTTAAGGAATTAGTCAAGAGCAAACTATGAATTCTTAACAAAAACAAAATCATTTGGACATCACTAATATGGTGTGTGACATCACCCACAAGATGCATTAATTATTTTTAACTACTAATAGAATGCCACTATTTTCTTATAAAAATATCCATTCTACCATTTTAAATAACCAAAAATGCCCTTACTCAAAAAATTTTGTATTACAATTCAAGAGTATTTTAGTGTAAAAAAATGTTTAATACTTTAAGGGTCTACACCACTAAGTGGTGTAGCATAACAAAACCCTATATATAT